TTCATCAGATGTTTCATCTTGCGATGATGTTCCTTTAGCTTCTTCTGCTTTTCGCTTTGGAGAAGCTGACAATCCTGGTCCAATGGACAGCTACGATGATGAGGAGGGGATGCCTCCTCTTGCCTCCTCGCGTGAGGATAGGATGTTCCAATGTTTGCGGCCTACGTGGCAAAGAAAGTATGGCCCTGCAACTTGGTAGTGGCATTTGGTGTTTTTCTGAGACCCATCTCACCACAGTGCTCCAGCGCACGGTGGCGGCCACTTTGTCTGGACTTGGACGACAGCTGCATCGTCAAGTGAGAGCGCATTTTGGTGCCCCGGTGGACTTTCGTAGTAACTCCATTCAAGCTGGCACTTGGGGTGGAGTTGGCATCCTCAGTGACCGCCCTTCAAGGGAAATCACGCTTTCCTGGAAGAATGGGGAACGCTCATCCGGGAGATTGATGGTTCCAAGGCGCCTTGTCAAAAACATGCCATTTTTGGTGGCGGCGTGCTATGGTTTTCCACTTGGCCTGATAGCAAGCGATTGACCAATCAACTTTTGGCTACTCTGTCGCAAGACTTGGTGGTGGGTGGTGCTGGACCACGAATCATAGCGGGGGACTTCAACAGCACTAGCCAGCAACTGGATGAATTCAAACTGTGGGAAAGCTACGGTTGGATTGAAGTACAGCAACATGCTCAACATTGCTGGCAACAACCTATTGTCCCTACATGCAAGGGCTCCACAGTCATTGACATGATGTGGATGTCACCTGAAGCAGCCAGAATGTGCGGCTATGTTGGACACACCAGTGTGTTCCCTGACCATGTCACCATCTTTGCGGACTGTGCTGTTCCTGAGAAGGTCACGGCATCTTGACTTGGCCCAGACCTACCTCGATTCAATGGGACAAGATCAACCAAGAGACCTGGCACTATAACTTGGACAGGTCTCCAGCGCCTGATGAGGTCACCAGCTCTTCAACTTAATTCTTCACTGGGAAAATGCACTGGATGGAAGTGTACAAGATCAGCCTGGTGGTCATCTACCACACACTTTTAGAGGGCGTGCCAAGGGCACTCAACCAATGAAGGCTTCCTTGGCATCACCGGTGTCGAAGCCCTCACGACAAGGTGAAGTGCAGCTACGATCAGACCTGGTCTCCACACAAGTCCAGCTCTGGTTCAAGCAGTTGCGAAGGCTTCAGAGCTACAAACATGCGGCAGTTGCCAACAAGCAGACGCTGGACGCGGAGGTCTACAGGCTTAGCTTGTGGGCTGCCATCAAGAAAGGACGTGGTTTCGACGGATTTTTCAACGAATGTGCCTACGGAGGAGACTTCGCTCCCCTTCAGCTCCGGAGATTTTCCATTGGCACCTCCTGATGGCTCCACTGCAGAGCAAATCTTTTTGGATTTCAAGCAGAACTTTGAAGCCTTTAAACAGTGGCATTGTCGACAACGTCGAAAGCTGCTGCAACTGAAGTACGACCAAAGCTGCCACAGACTTTTTCATGAGCTGCGTCCGCCCAAGCGTGACCAACTGGACCTTCTTTGGCACAACAAAGACTACACGATCTTGGTGGTAGACCAGGCCACACACCAGATTCATGTTGATCAACCAGTGAACGACCTGACTGGATGTGTACGGTTTGTCAGCAACATGCAGGTTGAAGTTGAGACTGCGGATGGGGACGTGCTTGGACTTCATGCACTTTGTCATCATGTTGAACCAGGCGATTTGTTACAATGCCACCACTACTTCTCTGAGGTGACCCAAGTGCATCAAGCCTTGATTGACCTTTGGAAGCCACGATGGCAGAAGGCCAGCATGGTTGGAACAGAACACTGCAATCGAATCATGGGGTTCATTCACGCTTACATGCCACGATTGCAATTCCCAGAACTTGATTTTTTCACTTCAGAGATGGAAGACAGCATTGAATCATTTTCCAGTCAGGCCTGCCAGAGGTGTTGATGGCATTGACGTGGCGGACCTGAAACACCTGTCTGACAACGTCACTTCCAACCTGTTGAATTTCCTTGCGCAGATCAATGGATCTGAGAAGCCATGGCCTGCTCAATTGCTCTATGGGACAGTGATCAGCTTGGCCAAACAGGATGAAGCTCATTTGCCCAACCACTTTAGACCAGTGGTCATCTTAGGAACAGTGTATCGAACATGGTCCAGGATGAATGCTCTCCCGCTTTTGAGAATTTTCGGGCAGATCCTTCCATCATGTGCACATGGGTTTTTGCCTGGCCATGAATGCGCACAAGTTTGGTTGCAGCTACAGGGCTTCATAGAAGTGTGTTTACAGCAAGGCATCGAATTTTCTGGATTCAGCACTGACATTGAGAAATCTTTCAACAACGTGGGACGCGACTCCTTGATGGCGCTTGCAGTGCACATTGGCATCAGCGACTCGCTTTTGAAACCATGGAGGGCGTTCCTGGATGAGTTTGTCAGATCTTTTCAGATACAGACTGCCTTGAGTCAGCCTGAACGCAGTACGCAAGGACTGCCAGAGGGCTGTTCACTTTCTGTGGCCGGCATGGTGCTCATTGATTGGGCATTTCATGTCTACATGGCGGCCTTGGCACCTTCAGTTCATGCTTTTACCTATGTTGACAACGTTTCGGAAGCCGGACATGAAGTGATGAATGTGGTCTAAGCCTTTTTCTCTACCATTTGCTTCTTTCAACTTTGGGGATTGCTGTTGGACCTCGGGAAAACCTATTTCTGGAGTACCTCTCCATTTTCCAGGGCCATCTTGCGAATCTCGGGGTTGACTTTGCAGTGTGACGCATTGGGGTTGGGCGGCAGCATGACATATGATACGGCGCGCAGAAATCGGCAGTTGCGCCACAGGGAGGACAAGCTCCTTGACAAATGGGACAGGCTCAAGCGAAGCCCTGGTCCACTCTATCAGAAGCACATGGTCCTTCCGATGGCTTTTTGGTTTTCAGCCCTTTACGGCGCTGCCTCTTGCCCTCTTGCAGATACCTATCTACATCAACTACGACAAGCAGCAAACAAGGCTCTTCGCTGCAAACATGCAGGAACCAATGCCTTGTTACGCTTCTCTTTGAGCGACAAGATGGACGCAGACCCAGGTTTTTTCCACTTGGTTTCAGTTATTCAGACTTTTCGAAAAGTTTGTGGGCGTTCTCCTCGAGTTTTGGATTGCTGGCGCCTGTAGCAATCATCTTTTGATGGTCGCATTACCCATGGTCCATTTGGTATGCTTTTGGAGGTGTTGAACAAGGTGGGATGGAGAGTTGGCATTCCTCCAATGGTGATAGATCGAAATGGGCATCCACACGACTTGCTTTTGACTCCATGGATGCTCCTAAGACATTTGCTGGAAGATGCGTGGCTTTGCTATGTTGGCAGTGCATTGACTTGCTCTTCAATGAGCTCATTGTCTGGCATTGATGGCTATGTGGTGGAATGGGGCAATTCCACTCTGACCTCGTTAGAGCGTTCACTGCAGTCGGCTTTGCAATCAGGAGCCTTCATGGATGCATGGACTCAAGGCAAGTTTGATGTCACAAAAAACAAAATTTCTAACCAATGTCACTGTCCCCAAACTCAAGAACATGTGTTGGTTTGCCCGAAACATAGGGACTCAAGGGATCAGTTTTTTCTCACCAAAGAGCTTGATCAACTGCCGCGGCATCTTGCTTTGCATCTTCTTTGCCAAAGACCGCTGTGGATTGATGATCTTCGAGCCTGCTTCCTTGGCCTGCCTGACAACACTGAAGATTTTGTTTCTGCCCCTTCTGGTTCTGGCACCCAACATCTTTTTACAGATGGAAGCCATACTGCTGATGGTCGTTTTGAGACAAGACGGGCAGCATGCATGGGGGTTGCACAATGCCACCAGCCACGGACCCATTGGCTCAGGGCACTTAGCAGGCCTGCCACGAACCATTGCTCGAGCAGAGCTTACGGCAGTCATTGCGCCTATTCGATGGTCTTTGCTTTGGAGGGTCAGAGTGCACATTTGGCTGGATGCACTTGAGATCCAAAAAGGTTTGCAACTACGACTGGATGGATACTGCACTTTGCTGGATGAACGTATCGCTGACCTTTGACTCATCGTGGGTGCTCTCCTGGCGCGAGGGGCAGTCAAACCGGTCGCAGCCACATGGATCCCCTCCCATCTTGACCTGGCGAAATGTGAATCTCCGTTTGAGGAATGGATTGCCACCCGTAATGGCATTGCAGGTTCACTGGCAGTTTGTTGCAGTGGCTGTTGGCGTGTCAGAAGAAGTGGGATGAGAGACATATCAGCCTGCTGCAGAAGCTCCGGAAGTTTTACTTTGCCATGTTTGAACGAGACAAAGCCTCAAAACGTTCTGCTGCGAGCATTCTGTTTGTACAGTTTTCTTGATACTCTTTCAACTGCTATGGATCCTGAACACTTTGTACAAAACTTAGGATACCCAGTTGAGTTTCTGCAATCTTTGTTTGAATGGCTTGGAGCGCATGAGATCCACGATCAAGTTGCTGTTCCTGTTAGTTTTCTTGAGATCACTTGTGGTTTTGAAGATTGCTCCGGTGCAGTTCCCTTTTCGAAATCCCGCGGCTGGGAACTGGACACTCATGGATCGCAGGTCTCTATTCGTAAGGCCCACATTGACTCATTTTTATGGAGCCATTCACAAGGTGTTTCGGTATCTTTGCCGGCACTGGTGTGAAGGCACTCCAATGTGGAATCTCAACAGATCGCTTGGAGTGCCCATTCCTTTAGGCATTTGCTTACGGCTGGCGCCAGACGTTCTGGCAATTGTTGCAAGTGTACGTGAAAGCCTGAGCATTTTCACTCGAGGCCAATCCGCTCCAGAGATTTGGCCAGAGTGGCTTAGACCTGACCTGTCTTCTGCGGCACAGACGCTGCCGTGCCCAGACATGGAAAGGTGTCCGAGCTATAGCAGCTACAAGTATGGGAAAGAAACAACTGAAACAACTGGGAGCTGATTTCACGGCCACCCACACTGAAGGTCACTGACCTCACTGGAAGCTTCTCCCAAGCGCCATCGCTGCCGTAGCCCATCCATGTAAGCCTGCCATTTCGCTCGTAAACCAAAATGTCGATTGGTTGAGATAATGTTGAGATACTGTTGAGATGATTGATGATTGAATTTACCACGAAAAACCATTTATTCTTACCATGCTTCATAAATGCATTGGAATCCTGCAGCACCCGAGCAATATCGAGCAATCAAGCTTGGCCAAATCGCAGCATATTCCAAGGTCGCAGGATGGCTTTACTATTCTCCTCTTATTCACCATGATTTACCCACTGGCAGTCCGCAAAGGAAAATCTTGAACTCGGGAGAGAGAGGGGGAGATGGCCACCTGAAATCAGTATAAAATAAAGGTTTTCACTTGATAGTTGGTTAGATTGTCAAATGCTAAATCCCCATGAATCCCTTAAAAAAAATCATTCAAAATCCAACTTTGACCAATTGTTACTAGTACAAAAATGCTGCCATCTTAGTTGCCTCAGGAGGTAGATTTTGCGGCAGCTCTTGCACTGCGCTGCATAGGACCTGCTAGGCCGGCGTTGGGAATGCTTCCAAGATGTCGTTTCGGAGACAAATATCACTGCAAATCCATAAAATTCAGTCATGTCTGCGGAGGTGACACTATTGGCTTGTTCACTCATTGAATCATTGTATCCTGGAACATCCACTGTGGTGTGACAGGGCCCACCTCAAATAGCTCCAGTGCTGCGGTGACTAAGCTGGCCTGGAGTTGCTGGGACCACATATATTCGGCCTTGATTTCTGGATGTATGATGTAATGATTGTAATGAGCCTGAAATGCTACAGAAAAAACATCGATCACCTGCAGTTTCGCAGCTTCGACACCGAGGACTCAACGTCTTCTCCTTGAAGACCTTGGCATGGCGATGGCATGGCTGAACCTTTGAAGATTTGCGGATGTTTTGTTTGGAAAACCATAAGTTTCCACAGCTCCTGGCGGAGGTCGGCCAACTGAACCTCAGTGGCGTTGCTGACCCAAAGCCTTACGTGGTGATATGAACGATATGATGTGGAGGTTTCCAATTTCCATTTTGTTGCAACAGGCTTGCCCTCTGTGAAAAATCAAGCAAGGCCAGGTATAGAGTCAGATTACTGCGATTATAGAGCTGATTGGTATTTGAACCCATCTGCTGAATATCAGTCACTTGGGACTACCAGTAGTACCGCACAAGGCGGTGGCGGAAGTTTCAAAAATTGGAAACCTATAGGAGAGATTGGTTGTTGTGAATCAGGGATGGCAGAGCGAATCCACTGATGGACCGAAAGGTGCTTGAGGTCTCCTCTCTTTCTCTCTCTTTCTCTCTCTTTCTCTGACTATCTACCTACTTACCTACCTATCTACCTATCTATCTATCTATCTTTCTTATCTATCTATCTATCTATCTAATCTATCTAATCTATCTAATCTATCTAATCTATCTAATCTATCTAATCTATCTAATCTATCTAATCTATCTAATCTATCTAATCTATCTAATCTATCTAATCTATCTAAACTATCTAAACTATCTAATCTATCTAATCTATCTAATCTATCTAATCTATCTAATCTATCTAATCTATCTAATCTATCTAATCTATCTAATCTATCTAATCTATCTAATCTTCTAATCTATCTAATCTATCTAATCTATCTAATCTATCTAATCTATCTAATCTATCTAATCTATCTAATCTATCTAATCTATCTAATCTATCTAATCTATCTAATCTATCTAATCTATCTAATCTATCTAATCTATCTAATCTATCTGATCTATCTGATCTATCTAATCTATCTAATCTATCTAATCTATCTAATCTATCTAATCTATCTAATCTATCTAATCTATCTAATCTATCTAATCTATCTAATCTATCTATCTATCTATCTAATCTATCTAATCTATCTATCTAATCTATCTAATCTATCTAATCTATCTAATCTTGGCTAAGCTGAAGAGCAATGCTCTGATGGATCCAAAAACCAGCCCAGGTACGGTACGGTGGGTGCCCTGTTTGCCCCTCCGGGGGGTGTGAAAAGGTACGGTCATTTGGTGCGACTGAAAGGTGCGACTGTTTTTTGGTACGGTTATTTGGTGCGACTGAAAGGTGCGACTGCTTTTTGGTACGGTCCTTTGGTGCGACTGAAAGGTGCGACTGTTTTTTGGTACGGTCATTTGGTGCGACTGAAAGGTGCGACTGTTTTTTTGGTACGGTCATTTGGTGCGACTGAAAGGTGCGACTGTTTTTGGTACGGTCATTTGGTGCGACTGAAAGGTGCGACTGTTTTTTGGTACGGTCATTTGATGCGACTGAAAGGTGCGACTGTTTTTTGGTACGGTCATTTGGTGCGACTGAAAGGTACGACGGTTTTTTGGTATGGTCATTTGGTGCGACTGAAAGGTGCGACGGTTTTCTGGTACGGTCATTTGGTGCGACTGAAAGGTGCGACTGTTTTTTGGTACGGTCATTTGGTGCGACTGAAAGGTGCGACTGTTTTTTGGTACGGTCATTTGCTGCGGATCCATGGCGAATCTCGGTCCATAGCAACGGATCCTTCCCAAGTAGCGAGGTCCGTTGCTATGGACCGATATTCACCCAAGATCCGTTGCTACCGGACCGATATTCACCCAAGATCCGTTGCTACGGACCGATATTCACCCAAGATCCGTTGCTATGGACCGATATTCACCCAAGATCCGTTGCTATGGACCGATATTCGCCCAAGATCCGTTGCTACGGACCGATATTCACCCAAGATCCGTTGCTATGGACCGATATTCACCCAAGATCCGTTGCTATGGACCGATATTCGCCCAAGATCCGTTGCTACGGACCGATATTCACCCAAGATCCGTTGCTATGGACCGATACTCACCCAAGATCCGTTGCTATGGACCGATACTCACCCAAGATCCGTTGCTATACCCAAGATCAGTTGCTATGGACCGATATTCACCCAAGATCCGTTGCTACGGACCGATATTCTCCAGGGATCCGTTCTTATGGTCTGACATTTGCCATAGATCCGTAGCAGTGACCGTATCAAAAAGCATTCGCACGTTTCAACGGTACTAACTGACCGTACCAAAAAGTACTCGCACCTTTCAACCGTACCAACTGACCGTACCAAAAAACACTCGCACCTTTCAACCGTACCAAATGACAGTACCATATTAGCAACTGATATTCAATGAAATCTGCTGCAAATCATCGAATATCAGTTGCTAATATGGTACTGTCATTTGGTACGGTTGAAAGGTGCGAGTGTTTTTTGGTACGGTCAGTTGGTACGGTTGAAAGGTGCGAGTGCTTTTTGGTACGGTCATTGTTGCAGATCTATGGCAAATATCGGTCCGTCGCAACGGATCTTGGGTGAATATCGGTCCATAGCAACGGATCTTGGGTGAATATCGGTCCATAGCAACGGATCTTGGGTGAATATCGGTCCATAGCAACGAATCTTGGGTGAATATCGGTCCGTAGCAACAGATCTTGGGCGAATATCGGTCCATAGCAACGGATCTAGGGCGAATATCGGTCCATAACGGATCTTGGGTGAATATCGGTCCATATAGCAACGGATCTTGGGCGAATATCGGTCCATAGCAACGGATCTTGGGTGAATATCGGTCCATAGCAACGGATCTTGGGTGAATATCGGTCCGTAGCAACGGATCTTGGGCGAATATCGGTCCATAGCAACGGATCTTGGGCGAATATCGGTCCATAGCAACGGATCTTGGGTGAATATGATCTTGGGTGAATATCGGTCCATATAGCAACGGATCTTGGGTGAATACCCGGTCCATAGCAACGGATCGTGGGTGAATATTGATCTATAGCAACGGATCTCGCTACTTGGCCAGGGATCCGCACCAAATGACCGTACCAAAAAACAGTCGCACCTTTCAGTCGCACCAAATGACCGTACCAGAAAACCGTCGCACCTTTCAGTCGCACCAAATGACCATACCAAAAAACCGTCGTACCTTTCAGTCGCACCAAATGACCGTACCAAAAAACAGTCGCACCTTTCAGTCGCACCAAATGACCGTACCAAAAAACAGTCGCACCTTTCAGTCGCACCAAATGACCGTACCAAAAAACAGTCGCACCTTTCAGTCGCACCAAATGACCGTACCAAAAAACAGTCGCACCTTTCAGTCGCACCAAATGACCGTACCAAAAAACAGTCGCACCTTTCAGTCGCACCAAATAACCGTACCAAAAAACAGTCGCACCTTTCAGTCGCACCAAATGACCGTACCAAAAAACATCGCACCAAACCACCGCACCGAAACACCGTACCAAAAAACACCCCACCGAAGGCGTACCCAAGGGGTACCCCGTACCCACGGCGAAGGGCTATCAGAAACCCCTGTTTCATTGCTCTGGAACTTAGCTAAATCTAATCTATCTAATCTATCTATCTATCTACCTATCTATCTATCTATCTATCTAATCTATCTATCTATCTATATCTGTCTATCCATCTATCCATCTTTCTATCTATCTACCTATCTATCTATCTATCCATCTATGATTTCTATCTATCTGTCTATCTGTGGTGCAGTGTCATTCAGTGTAAGGTAGTGTTGTGTAATGTAGTGAAGTGTAGTGGAATGTAGTGTAGTGCAGTGTAATGTAGTGTAGTGTAGTGTAATTTAGTGTAGCCGAGTGTAGTGGAGTGTAGTGTAGTTGTAGTTGTAGTATAGTTGAGTGTAGTGTAGTGTAATGTAGTGAAGTGTAGTGGAAGGTAGTGTAGTGTAGTGTAATGTAGTGCAGTGGAGTGTAGTGTAGTGTAATGTAGTGTAGTGTCATTTAGTGTAGTGGAGTGTAGTTGTGAAGTTGTAGTTGTAGTTGTAGTGTAGTGGAGTGTGTGTAGTGTAATGTAGTGAAGTGTAGTGGAAGGTAGTGTAGTGTAGTGTAATGTAGTGTAGTGCAGTGTAGTGGAGTGTAGTGTAGTGTAATGTAGTGTAGTGTAATGTAGTGTAGTGTAATGTAGTGGAGTGTAGTTGTGCAGTTGTAGTTGTAGTGTAGTGTAGCGAAGTGTAGTGTAGTGGAGTGTAGTGTAGTGTAATGTAGTGGAAGGTAGTGTAGTGTAATGTAGTGTAGTGTAATGTAGTGTAGTGTAATGTAGTGTAGTGGAAGGTAGTGTAGTGTAGTGTAATGTAGTGTAGTGTAATTGAGTGTAATTGAGTGCAGTGTAGTGTAGTGGAGTGTAGTGTAGTAGAATGTAGTGAAGGTGTAGTTGTAGTTGTAGTTGTAGTGTAATGTATTGGAGTGTAGTGTGGCGTGGTGGTGGTTGTAGTTGAAAATATCACGTTTTGCTCACTTTTGACAAGGTCCACAATCCCCTGCGCCTGCCACACGAAACGACATCTGAACTTCCAAAAGTGGTCCGAGAATTGTGTGTTTTGTACATTTTGACTTGGAAATGTGCTTCGCGCCACAACGGGTGCACTTTTTCGACATCGTAACTTCCAAAAGTGGTCCGACTCTGAGGTGTTTTGTACATTTTGACTTGCAATGTGCTTCGCGCGACAACGGCGTGCACTTTTTCGACATCTCAACTTCCAAAAGTGGTCCGAGAATGGTGTGTTGTGTATATTTTGACTTCGAAATGTGCTTCGCGCCACAACGGTGTGCAATTTTTCATCTCTCATCTGGCCAGCTGGCTCCGCACCCGCCGCTTTAGCGAGCCTACTTTTGGACCCTCCGGAGCCCCAAATCATTGGAAAAACACAGTGTTTCGCGACTTTCCTACCTTTTCTCGCATCTGCATCTTCTTTCTTCTTACTCTTTCTCTTCTACTCTTCTTTCTTCTAATCTTTCTCTTCTCTCTGCCTCTTCCCTGCTCTGCTTTTCATCTGTCCATATTGTCGGAAGTTTGGCTTCTAAACTTCCTTCGATTATCTCCAAAAAGTTCGAAAATGGATGACTATGACATTTCTTTCAACCCGGCAACCAGATTTTTTTTAACACTTGATTTGGAGCTCTCAACATCGAAGTCGAGTCAGCAGATCATCCCCACAAGGTCACTGCCATGGCAGACACAGTGGCGGTCAACAATCCGTGAGATGCACTGCTGGCCTCACAAAGTTTGCTGATGTCCATGGAGTCCATGGTTTTACATCCGTTTCTGTAGGTATTCACGATGTAAGATGGTCCATAGCAGGGATCCACACAGAAGATCGGAGACTGAAGTCTATCATGCAGTGCAGAAGAGTTCCCGAAAAAGTAGAAAGGTAAATCATCAGAGCAGTGTTCCTTTTCTCCCGCTTTTGGATTGGGAGTTGCAAAAATCTCTGGACCGAAGCTCTATCACGAACCCATCCACCTAAATGCGTTGCACTGACATGGATCAAGAGCGGGGACCTCAAACTGTTGGTTTTGATATTTTCTGATGCTGAAAGGATCATTTTTTACGCTGATCCTTGGGTCTTCAGTTTTGAGGCACCCTGCAAAGCTCCTCTTTGCTTTTGGTTCAAACTTCTACCAGGAGTCTAAACTAAAGTACAACTGAACATGATTATGGATCAAACCATTTTGGTGGTTACTAACCACCCAACGAAATTTAACGACCCATTATTCATATTCATAAAATAGCCATCATATAACTATACTTTCATGTTCAAGCATCATAATAGCCATCATTGATATAAATATATATATATATACATGTACATGAATATATAGTCATCCTGGACAGAAGATAGACAGATAGAATATGGAATTTGTGACATCAACCCACCACATTCCACACCCGGGGTGAGCTTCCAGACGCTTCCGGAGGTGCCACGCTCACCGTTCTGTGGCGTCGGTGGCAATAAATGGAGGGCCTTAAACAAAAAGGTTCTCATGAAATGTCATGAATCTGTATCTCTCCATGTAAGTATCTATATATATATATGACATTATAACTATGTATATACATATGTACATATATACAGGATGTTTTTGTGTTGATTTTTTGGTGTTTCGATTCTCCTTTTTAGAAATCACGGATGATCTCAACACGTTGGATCCAAAACCAACCACCGACACACTATATGAACCAACAAACGTGGTTTGCCGTATTGGATAAATTCATGACCTCTCTTGAACCAAACAGCAGACCCGTTGTTCAACATCAATTAGCCTCCTGAACCCATACGAGACCTTGGCAATTGTGGGATGTGACCATCGAGAGATACCCAACACGGTGGTTCAGCCGTCCAAAATATGATCCCCATGGGATGCAAAGGACTGCAACAAAGCACGAGATGTCGTCATTTTGAAGGTCATCCCAGTGAAACGCCCCGTCGCCTTTAAGGGATGAATCAAAGCTGATCGCACTTGATCTATGGACACCACTTGGAGTCGGAACCTCCAAATCCCATTCCGCATTTTCACATAGTTTATCTGATCATAAATTGGGTCCGATCACATTTAAGACACAGATTTTGATCCGAAAACCAGGCGACTCGCACGTCTCCCTCTTCCGTCGCACCAGCAGCGCCGCGAAGCGACGGAAGAGGGGGCCGTGCTGAGCTCCTCAGTCCAGGGCTTGTGAGTTCGTCACCCAAAGCTATATACATAATATCTACACATCAGTATCTCAACATCTCAACATTTGTCTATCTGTCTATCTATCTAAATACATCTATTTACATATCTAGTTGCATATCTATTTACATACCCATTTACACATATCCATCTATCTCTCTCTCTCTATAGATATCTAGAATTATCGATATGTTTAACTGTTTATCTACAGTGTGCCCACGAACCGACACGAATCGACAGACACGAACCAGAACGAAACGCGGGGTCATGGAACCGGTGAATGAAGACGAACCACAGGAACCGAACCGCAAAGCTGTTCGGCAGTGCTAATTTTCCGTAACCCCCGGGAAGCTATGTTTGGCCCCGAGAGTGCTTCTTGGGGGGTTACGGGTTCGGACTTTTGAGTACTAGATTGGTATGTTTTATGATGGTATTTTCTAAATCTTTCTATTACAACAGAGAATTTCGAGGCCAAAGCTGTTCGGCTGTACTCATTTTCCGTAACCCCCGGAAAGCCATGTTTGACCCCAAAAGTGCTTCTTGCGGGGTTACGGGACCGTAATGTTGAGTATACTACATGGGTATGGGGGATTACGGTATTTGCTAAATCTTTCTATTACAGTTACAACAGAGAATTTTGAAGCCAAAGCTGCTCGGCGGTACTAATTTTCCGAACCCCCCGTCTAAGCAGTCTTGAGGGCCAATGTTGCTTTCAGAAAGTTACGAACGCCAACGCATATAGTTTGAATGCTGCTATAAACATTGCCGCATACACTTATTTTCGAACCGATGCGAATCGATGCGAACCACGGGAACCCTGTAGCTATTTAGTTTTCAACTGTTGCTTTGAAACTATGAAACTTCTTGGGTTTTCATGGTTGATACTGTAGGTTACCGCATTTTGAAATACATTGGATCTTCCAACTTCGACAGCCATCATGCAAAAGTCACCAGCATGAACTTCTAGATGTTGACTGAACAAAAAACGGCTCCTTGATCACTGCATCACTGCACCGCGCCTAGGCTCTGGCGGTAGCGCTCAAAACGTTCGCTGGAGCTCTTGGTTTGGTGGGAGAAGTCCTGCAAAGCCATGCGAGCAATGCACCCTGCCACGGGGCATCAACCCAAGTGAACACCTAGAGATGCCAAGCTGATCCACGAGGCATCCTCTTTGGGCCCCATGATCCATGATGAACCGGCTGTGCCGGTGGGCAGCTCCCAATCAGCTGTCCTTGCTGTTCTTGAAACAGGTTTTCACAGTTTGTATTCCTTATCTGCACTGGTTGAAGTAATCACCTAAATCCATATCTTGGATAAATCACCGCCGGTTTCTCCAAAAAGTTTTCTCACCTGTCCTCGGCTTTGGCTTCCTGTACAGCGGCTTTGGGAAGCTCTTCACCTGTCATTCCCATGAAGTCACCAAGCTTTACCCATGGTGCCTCAACCGAGGCGAAAGCGCGTGCCTGCAACTTCCTCTTCTTCGACAGCAAAGGCACTGCAAACTTTGCCCTGAGCCACTTGAGCAGTTGAGGTGATTTGAGCTACAAAAAACGGGGATTACAAGCAGCTAACTCAACCCAAAGTGGGTCACCTCCAACCAAAAGGAGGATTAGATTCAACCAAAAGCATGGGGGTGTAGGAACCGAGCATGGTGATTTTCACCAGCCAAAATAGTGACTACAGGAAACAGGTGTTTGTCCGAAAGGTGTTTGGAATCCCAATGGAAGTCACCGACGACTGTGCGATGTGTGGCCTGCTTCTTCTGCAAGGAAAATGCCAAGCGGGGTCTTTTGATCTCCATGGCTGGATTTGGCGTCAACACACATGATGGGTATCCACTATTATGGAAGTGGGAAGTGGGACGAGTTGTGCATCCCACAGCGCTAAAAATGGTTATGGCGATCTGCAATTGTCGAGCTGCAAAATGGCATTGTTCCAATACCAGGATGTTACACAGTGTGCACGGAATTCAGGCTTCAATCAGATCCAAGATTCTCAGATCGAGTGCTGAATCTGCTGAAACACCATGTCACAATATGTCACAATTGCACCCAACAAAATCATGTGCCCTCGGCATCCATTGCGCAATCACCTCTAAATCATGGAGGATCATCCCAGGTCCAAAAGCGTCATCCGCCAGGCGCACGAGCGTGCCAGTTAACAAGACCTGCCTGGCCGACTTCATGGTGGATACAAATCTTTGTGAACAGTCATTGTTAGTAGTGTGTAAACCCAAGTATAAACAGCCACCAATTTTAGAAATGGTTGGCAAAAATCATCCCTACATGCTAGGTTTATGGCACTGCGTCTACCAAATTCACATCTTTACTTCAGGAGTCAATGGTTTGATTCATGGCTACAGGAGCCCATTCGCTGCTAACAAAGTCACAGCCTCCGACATCCGAAATCTGGGTATATCCTGGAGATTTAATGGGGATCAGATGAGGATGTATGCATGGGGGAATGTAATTATGGGACTTCTCTCTCTCTCTCTCTCTCTCTCTCTCTACCTCTCTACAATGTGTATATATACATATATATATATGTATATATATATAGGGGTACAAACATACATTTCAGTATATGCATGGCTTAATGAATAGAATTCTGGGATACAGCTTGGGAGTGCGTATTGGGATGTACTTCTGAGTAGGCATGGGACCTCGAGTTTCAACCGCTTTCTCAATGAGTACCCGAATCCCTCCACCTTGAGCCATGTCCACGACTTGAAAATAGCAAAAGGATGCTCGGCGAAAGGCAAGAACCACCTGAGTTCGCGAGGAGAGTCGTGCAAATGTTTTGCATCCATTCCAAATAGGAACCACCAAGTTTCAAATGGTCGATGAGTCTAGTCACCCACTGCAGTGATTGATGCAATGAAGCCCCGAAAGAAAATATACATGGGGCTTTGAATATCTCACTAGGAGCAAATTAGAGAGCTCACTCAGTGATCTATGGGATTCTAGCTCAATGATGCTTGCTCAATATCTGTAAAATCATCATTTTGGGCTGTCTTCATACTCTACTTTGTGCTCACCAAGATTAGTGCTGCCATGTGACGTACTGAACCATTTTTAATATCAAATGAAACTGGTTCTACATTGATAAACTCATTGTTGCTGGTGATATGTGGCCTACACCTAGTATAAACTCATCATTGCTGCCCCATAGTCCCAGCGCCCGTTTTATGCGAGGTCCAGGCCAAAAGCTCAAGCCTTCGCCAGCACCTAGGACCTGCCATAAATACCAACTGTGTAGGGACTGTAACACGTGAAAACACGGGATGGAATAACACACACACACACATATATATATGTTATACAATAATAGGTGTAATATATAATATATAATATATGCTAAATGAAATATGAGATATGATATATAAAAAATATATGATATATAACATTTGATATATGTTAATGAAATACAGTAATTTAAATATAATATATGAAACATCAAATTTGAAATACAATATATAATATATAATATAATATAACCAAAAAATGTGATATATTATATATAATAAAATATGTAATATATGTAATATGTAATATATGAAATGTATGTAATATATGTAATATATGCAATATATGTAGTATACGTAATATATACAATGTACTAATATATATATACTAACAGATATATATACTAATATGTATATACTAATATATATATACTAATATATATATACTAACATATATATATACTAATATATATATATATATATACTAATATATATATATATATAAATAAATACATATATATATACACAAATATATGTATATATGTACTAATCAAAGGAAGTTTAGAAGTCAAACTTCCGACAATATGGACAGATGAAAAGCAGAGCAGGGAAGAGGCAGAGAGAAGAGAAAGATCAGGAGAAAGAAGAGTAAGAAGAAAGAAGATGCAGATGCGTGAAAAGGTAGGAAAGTCGCGAAACACTGTGTTTTTCCAATGATTTGGGGCTCCGGAGGGTCGAAAAGTAGGCTCGCTAAAGCGGCGGGTGCGGAGCCAGCTGGCCAGATGAGAGATGAAAAATTGCACGCCGTTGTGGCGCGAAGCACATTTCCAAGTCAAAATGTACAAAACACACCATTGTCGGACCACTTTTGGAAGTTGCAATGTCGAAAAAGTGCACGCAGTTGTGGCGCGAAGCACATTTCCAAGTCAAAATGTACAAAACACACCAGGTGCGGACCACTTTTGGCAGTTGAGATGTCGAAAAAATGCACGCCGTTGTGGCGTGAAGCACATTTCCAAGTCAAAATGTTAAAAAATAGGGGTTCGGAGCACTTTTGGAGGCTCAGATGTCGTTTCGATTCGCTTCACTAGACTACACTACATTACACAACACTACACTCCACTACACTACAACTACAGCTACAACTACACAACTACACTCCACTGCACTCCATTACACTAAATTACACTACACTAAATTACAGTACACTACATTACACTACACTACATTCCGCTACACTCCACTACACCACACTACATTACACTACACTACATTACACTGAATGACGCTGCACCACAGATAGACAGGTAGACAGATAGATAGATAGATAGATAGACAGATAGACAGGTAGACAGCTAGACAGATAGACAGATGAAGGAGATAGATAGAAAGAAAGAAAGATAGATAGATAGATAGGTAGGTAGGTAGGTAGTCAGAGAAAGAGAGAGAAATAGTGAGAGAGATCAATCACCTTTCGCTCCATCAGTGGCTTCGCTCTGCCATCCCTGATTCACAACAACCAACCTCTCCTATAGGTTTTCTATTTTTGAAACTTCCGCCACCGCCTTGTACGGTACTACTGGTATATATACTAATAAATACATATATATATATATATTTACATGGTCTCGTGTTCCGTGTTCCTCCCCCCCCCCAATGGTATGGGTCCCCAGGTAGCACCCCTTTTCCTTCTATTTGCAAGCTATTGGCAGTATTTCTGAGGTCCAGCCTTGTATATGCTAGGTCTTTGCAGCGATTCTGACTACCAGCCTCGCATTTACTAGGTACATGCTACCTTTTAGACGACATACGTAGCACACATACTCCCTCAAAATACCTACGTGCTACCTATAGTAAAAAAAACATGTGCTATGTATCTACTTCCTATATATATATATACACACACACATATATATATATACACACACGCAGTACCACACCCCCACCACACCACAGGGGGGCAGGGGGACAGTACCACACCCCCACCACACCACAAGGAAGGGGAGGACAGTACTATGGCTGACCCATGACCATGGCTGGGGGGGGAAGGGGGGTTGGAATGCTGGACCTATATATATATATATATACCTATATATATATACCTATCTATATATATATATACCTATATATATATATATACCTATATATATATACATATACCTATATATATATACACCTATATATATATACACACTATAAATGCACATCAAACACCTGTTGAAAGCAACTAAAAAGCTTTCATTTCACTTCCATTTCCAAATCAAGAATGAGAATTGAATCTTTTCTCGCTGCTTCCACTGCTGTCTCCAAAAAAGTTTCGTGCCTCTGCCAGTTGGCGTGAGACCGACCTGCGATGTTCAGATGCACCAATTCCAGTGATCAAAAACTCACAGCAATGCGACATCCGTGCCTGTACAGCCCTAGTGGTCTCACCAATCCAGATGAACAAATCCTTCAATGAAGTGTCCAATTAGAAAGATTTAATCATTGATCAATTTCTAGGTGATAACCATTGATAATCTCCAAAATCCAATCCTTCTTGGCACGTCATTAGTTCAGCCATGTGATCAAGTTTCCAGACCCATGGCCATCGGCCACCCGTCGCACTTGGCCTCTGATTGCCCGGGGAATGCCGGGCCTCGAAGCTAAAACTGGACTAAGGCTATGGCAGTGCGATAGAGAAACACGGCTATGGGTCAAAATTTTATCCGGACAGAGTTTAGCTTGGTCTACTTTTGCATGAACATGAAACATCCAATGATTGGGCCACTTTTAACTCATCACAGCTGAAAGATGTTGTCAATCTCCAGGCCGCCGCACACCCATCTTGTGCAGTTTCTGGTCCACGACTCCATGGCCTGGCAGAATTCAGAAAGATCCACGGGAGATCAACTCCAGCCCAAATATCTTGATGAGACACATGAGATAAAACAAACCTATGCAGTCATATATATATATATATTTTATACATGTCATATGTCAACAGTTTGCATATCCAACAATAAACCATCTCGATCATTTGTATATTCACTACCTCCCATTAGGTGGGATTGAAGGGGGAGAACATATGATGTGAGGTCACTCCATCGACGTCAGATCCAGCCTTCAATAAGGAAAGTCCATTGATCACAGCCTTGGTGCGGCGAAGTGCGTTGGTGGAAGCTGCATCTGATTTCCAGAAATGGGAGAACCATGGAATATATTAATGGGGGTTTCCATAGTCATGGGGTACCCCAAGCTCGCTGGATGGTTTATAGTGGAAAAATGTGGAAAATCCATCTATAAATGGATGATGACTGGGGGTACCCCTATTTTAGGAAACCATTTTGAGAAAAATGCATTTTGAGGCTAAGATCCAATATCACCATGGTTTCGAAGCAGTCACTCAGATGACCACTGCAGGACGATGGGAACTCTTCGTGAGACAGAAGTTAGATCAGTTTTACCACCGTCAGAATGTGGTAACTAAATTAGCCAATTATCCCAAGCTTTTGGGCCACCGCAGACCCGAGAGCACCAAGAAACCCATGACTGACGCAAAGATGGCGAAAACAAATGAAAGTGCAGCGCATCCTAAACACCTGCAGCTGGCGGATCTTTGAAGAAAATCTTTTGAACATTGAAATGCGTGGATGGGAAAAAATGCACAGCGCACCACCCCTTTTGATCCTCTTTGGTGCCCAAAATCTGGGTAGATACGAGTGGAATTCCAAGTCGAAATGGGGCCAATCATCCCAAGTCGCAGAGTGGATATTTTGAGCAGAAATAAACCGTTGGGTCAAAACGAACTGTATGGCTTAGAAATATTGGTCACCACATTGCTTGGTATTATCACTTCCCAAATGCTTTTCTCACTTTAACTGGCCAAATTATCATAATTCACTTGAAACGTCGGGTCATTTGATTGACTTCTCTTATAATTCAACTGAGATCAAGGACAGGATCTGAGCTGCAACACAGGACCGCAAGGAGAACCTGGCCATGGGGAAACACCAGTAAAATGATCTACAAATACTGGCTTCGCCACATCTATGTGACTTTACAGGAATATATGTATACACATAAATATACATAAAGATCAAACACATCTGCACACACACATGTATATATATATATATGTATATATATATCTCTCTCTCTCAATAAAAAATGATGTACATAATGTATGTGATGTTTTACAAAGGACGGTTGTGCCCAATTTGTGAAATCTTGCTGCAGTCCATGAAACCTGCCATCACACACTTGCTACAGTCTGGAAGAGCATTCCGTGACCCATTTTGTAATGTCCTATGCAATGTTTATGGTGTAAGCAACAAAATGGGGATAGCAACCAACAGCACGGTCAACCGAATTTCCATGCATTCTCATGACTAATCACTAACTGGGAGGCTTACATTTTCAGTAGGTATGTGAGCAAATTTCAAACCGTGTTCACCTACCCTGTACCAGGGTTTCCCCAGATTTTTCATCAGCAATGACGTTCATCAGGAGCGATGGCAGCACAAATTGAATTGGCCACGGATCAACGGATCAACAGATTTAGATATTAAAAATCAAACAGAGGCATTCCACATTCGGAAGCTTAAGTAAAGCTTAAGTCCATGCTCTATGTCTCGGAAGGTCATCATGGCACTGCTCGGCTGTGGCAATCGAAGTTGGGGCTATGCCTGCTGTTTGCAGGGCCCAGAAAGTCGGGATTCCAAGCGGTCTCCTGACAGTGACGATTGCCATTTGGGCGGGAAATGATACAAGATGGATTGTGTTGATTGTATTGATTGTCAAGTGTATATCTAATTTCAAATGGATTCATGAAGATAAACATAGATAATCTAAGATGAATTCCGACGATCCACTGATGGATGGGAGCAGAAACATGATATGATACAATCCCACAACCATCGGAGTTACTTTTCATCGGAATCAACATGAATCAACATGAATCAACAAATCATGGGTCAACTTTTGTGTCCCAGCCGCATTCATCTTGGCCATTGTATGAAAACCACCCAGTTTGGGATCATTCATGGGCAGATTTCCCCAGCCATTTTTGGAATTTAACCATGAAAAACCATCCCATTCTAGGCCCGCGTGGAAGATCATCTTCCGTTCTTCCTGTCACATTTAACCCGTTCTGCGAACAGTTCACCATGCATTGTAGATACTTCGACATTTATTCAGCTCATAAAACTTATTGCTTATATATTCTAGATATGTGTATATATATATATATACATAGTATGCGGTAGACCCAATAAACAATCCCCAATTTTGGTTTATTGGGACCATGGTACACCATTTGGGATGATGCAAAAACCACCTGCGGATTTCTCGGTCCTCATTGTTCCGTATGGCATATGTGAGGATGGTGACGGACCAAATGCACCTGGTCAGCGTGGCAATTTCAAGGTGTCTAAGACGTTTGTTTTTTAAATCATCCTCCATCTCTTGTCGCCCTGAACAATACACCTACGATTAAGTGGGTTACAACCCATAACAATCCATAAAATCACTGTAAAATGTCGTTAATCACCATAAAATGACTATAACATCACCAAAAAAAAAGGGTTAAATCCACCCAAAATTTCATGGCAATGTTCATCCAAAATTTTCGGATCTCCATTAAGATGGCCAGGCCCACGCAAGCCATGCATAGCCAACGAAAAGGATGAAGAACCTTGGGCGAATCTGAGGAAACAAACATGAGTGGAAACCCAAAACACCACGGGAAAATACTTCAGAACACGTTTTATTGTTTTTTAATGGTATATTAATATCTAATTGTTAATGTTATATAATGTATCATTAATATTAATGTTAATTGTTAATGTTAATAACATCATTAATCGAACTTAGGATAAGACTCAGTCACTGAGCGAAGCTTTGGCGAATCTTGCCCCCTGCAACCAATTTAAACCCATCGCCTGAAGGGACGAATGGAAAACCCCATGGAGCTTTCCGAAAATGGAAAAACCTCATTTTTTGTTGGATGGTAATGGAAAATTCTTGGAAAATTTGCATCAGTCCCATCAGTGGATGACTGGGGGTATCCCGACTTAAACCTCCCATGGAGCTGACGACTTGGACTGATCCCACGGGAGTCCAAGTGACTTGTGGTTTCGTCGACCAACGCAATTGTTTACCCATGGACAGTGGTGATCCATGTCCAAGACGCACGCCCTGGGTTTTCACATGAAGCGGGAAAATGAAGGTTCATCCTCTAAAGATATTCCCATATGGTCCATAAATATTGATTTAAATCTCCAAATCCAAGTCCTTCCATGTGCAAGGCTCGAGGTGCTCGAGGGTCTGGAAGGAATTTTGCTTCACAACCCCCGCCTGCAAGTTTTGCAATGGTGCGCACGCTTGGGCCTAAAGGTGTCACATTGGACGCACCTCAGCTGTTCGATAAATTGAAGCGTCAAACGCAAGGATTTCGAGCAGCAAATGGGGGTACCAAAAAAAGGGGCATCATCTAAAAAGGGTGTACCTGTTGATCCCTTTCAAAGGTGTATGAGGATGGGAAATCCACAGTATCTCACTTGGGGCAAACCATTAATCCCATTTCAAGCTGGGAAAAAGATGTGATGGGAGACCCTGAAATAGACATCAGCCATTGAAGCCACCAACCACACTACATTTCGACCATGTTTGGCTGGTTATTTTCTTCTCTATCTTTTGGTGGGATGAAACTGGGTATGGGTCCAACCCAGTCATTTTTCACATACATGTATATATATATATATTTATTTATATTTATGTATGATCATATGTATTCATACATGTATATATATATATGTACATATATGAATACATATGATCATACATAAATATAAATATATATATATATAAATATAAATATATATATATATATATATTTATGTATATATATATATATTATGTATATCAATACGCATTTACTTGGCCAATCTTCGACCCCCTCCACTTTCGATCTTTTCTCAGGTCGGCGCCACCACTTTCGCGGACGGGCGCCACAGACCTGCGTTGATTTAGTTGGTGGTTAGTGGTTGATGGGTGAATCATGGTGACTTATAAAGTGTTGTTTCACCTTTGACTTAGTAGAATTAGTAGAATACAAAAAATGATGATCATTGCGTTCAACATGATAGCATGATTCATAAAAGCCTTATAGGGAGAGCATGCTTCCGGCTTGCGAGTTCACGCGTGTTGGCAAACCATGGTTTCCCGGTGGATTTGGGTCAAATTTCCAGGCCCAGTGAAATGGGGTGCCGTTGCAGGTTACAAAAACACACTAAAAAGAACGGTAAAAAAAGCTACTTCAACGGAGTTGCAAATCTGTTTGGAACCTTTAGAACTGGTAGGGGCACATCAGTGCAGCCAGTCAGACTGAAGAGATAGACCAACCTTTTTGTGGAGGCTCAACCCATAGCAAACGTTCAAACCCTGGCAAGCAAGTCCCGGATGGTGAAGATGTTCCCACTTTAACAGAGAAAATATGAGCCCAATAACATCCAATAACCATGAACACACCCACAAAATCCACATTGCACAAAACATTCAACATATCACCATTTTCTTCAATCTACCCGGGACCTTCACGGACTCGCGACAATGTGCAGCAGCATCTTCGCTCAATCCGGCCTTGGGCGTCTGAGCATGGGATGTTTCCCAATTCCCGAAGGATGACGTGCACATTTTCTGCGTTCAAAATATCAAATTTTGTATGTTGAACTTTGTATGTTCCTCATCCTGCATGCCGCTCAACAAAAAACATTGCATTTGCTCTTCCTGTCCCCTCTTCGAACCAAAACTGATGAAGGTTGAGGCGATGGCACCAATCTGGGACAGAAGGTAGATTGGATCGTAGGTCATGTAGTGGATGAAACATTTCGCAATCGCAAAAGAATGGAGTTCTTCGGATTTTGCACATGTTCGTTGGATGTTTCACGTCTGAAACTTTTGGACACAAATTAGGTGCTTATGCGATAGAGATTTTGTCAGTATAGCAATTTGGGTTATATGCCTTCCCAGTTTCTAAGGAAGTTTCCCAGTGGGTTGGTGGAATGGTCAATCCCGTGCTTGTTCCCGGCAGCAGTGATCCAAGGGGATACAACCATCACTGCACGATTTCCAACGCTATTGTGGATTGATTCCGCTAATTAGGGACTCCCTGATCCTTTCCAGCCAAATCCTTTGAAGCTGTGTTGGATTGAAGCCTTTAAACATTGGCCACAACAATATCACATCATATCATGGTTAATCTTACCCTTCGACATTCATGCAATTTCTAAGGGTTGACTTATCTTCTCTCATTTAAGGGGAAACATCAGTAAACTGGCATTCACCTTGCGGTTTATCCTCATGTTTCATGGTTCAAGACCCCAATTTTCGGAGATGAACCAGAGGTTCCTGTTGGTTCAACATCCAGTATTTTGACGCTTAAATATTTTAAAAAATGCGCTTTAATTGAAGCGTCCAGTATTGTTGGTCAACATCCAGCATTTTTTGAAGCTGACACATTGTTTTTTTCCCATTTCTTCTTGGCCCCCTTCGATTCGAACACAAAATCAGTCCACCGCGCGGAGTCGGTGATACTCTTCACGCATCTGCTGCTGCAGCTCCTACGCAAAACAATGAATTAGGCATACATATTCCATATACAAACACTATATATATAAATTGCATAGATAGATTTTGTGTATATATATATACATACATATATATATATTACATATATATATATATATACACGTATTAACTAATTAATGATATTATACACACACTCACACACACACATATATATATATGTACATAGATAAATGGTAGCTTTTTGTTTCATCATGGAAACGAAGTGAGAATGGTAGTTTATGGCACCCGTTTGATGCGGGTCCCGTCGAAAGGCTGGGGTGGGGTGCTGTTAATGTTAAGTTGCACACGGCGCTTGTATTTGATGTGGTGCTCAAGCTAGTGCCCGACTAATGTGTAGCATTATCTGTGCAGATGAAAGAAAATTTTCTATTTCTTGCTGGAAGGCACGCCCCAACATTTTCAGTTTCGCTAAGGTAAAACTGAGAGATCAAAATATACTTGTCATATGAAATGCATCTGTCACATTGTGCCTCATGTTGACAAGTCCCAAAAATACCGTGTTTTGACTTGTTGAATTTGACACCCCTCAAAGGGCGCCGTATCAAGCGCCTGCCTAGTTTATACATGACTGCCTGCTGTCACTGTTTTTATCTGATGGCATGGTCCACAGACCTAAGAACAGTGGGCTTTCCCAACTCATTCCATCACATGTGAAGGTCAAAAAACAGTGGTCTTGAGCTAGTTTATGCAGACCTTTTCGATATCTTATCCATATGTAAGTGCTGATCAAAATGGGGATACAAAAAGACCGACAAGGGGTACAAAACTACTATAACGCTGAGCAAATCATATGTGGTAGTTCGTTTTTTCAAAATGATAATGGTAGTTTATGATCATCCGTATATTTCACGGATCAGCCATATCTTTTCCTTTTTTATACGCTGTTTGTAAAATGACGAGATGAAATGACAACGCTCTCATGGGATATCATGGGTAAACGATATATTCATGGGAAATTGAGATGGACGTTCAAGTTCATGGGAATGTAACTGGGATAGAACTGACAAATAATCTGGGTAACATCTGAATATCCCAAATAGAGATGCATGCGTTAAAAAACCAACCATACCAGGGGAATATACAAGAAACCATACTGGGTGATATAATGATACCAGTAGTACCGCACAAGGCGGTGGCGGAAGTTTCAAAGATAGGAAACTATAGGGGAGGTGAGTTGTTGTGATGCATGGATGGCAGGGCGAATCCACTGATGGACCGAAGGTGGTCACCTCACCCACAACTGCAGGATGTAGTGTGGTGTAGCGAAGTGCAATGTAATTGTAGTTGTAGTTGTAGTTGTACTTGTAGTTGCAAGTTTAGTTGATGTTGTTGGAGTTGCAATGTTGTAGTTGTAGTTGTGCTTTTGGTTGTAATGGTAGTTGTAGTGTAGTTGAAGTGTAGTTGAAAATGTAGTTGTAGTAATGGAAGTAGTTGCCGTAGTTGTAGTGTTGTGTAGTTGTCGTGTTGTGTCGTTCTCGTTGTCGTTGTCGTTGTCGTTGTAGTGTAGTTGTAATTGTAGTAGTAGTAGTAGTGTAATTGAAGTTGAAGTTGAAGCTGTAGTTGTAGTGTAGTTGACTGGTAGTGGTAGTTGTAGTGTAGTGGTAGTTGTAGCTGTAGCTGTCGTTGTAGCCTAGTGTAGTGTAGTGTAGTGTAGTGTAGTGGTAGTCGTAGTTGTAGTGTAGTTGTAGTTGTAGTCTAGCGTAGTGGAGTGGAGTTGAAGTTGTAGTTGTAGTTGCAGTTGCAGCTGCAGTTGTAGTGTAGTTGTCGTAGTTGTCGTAGTTGTTGTGGTTGTAGCAGTTGTAAGTGTTGTAGTGGTAGTTGCAGTTTTGTTGTGGTGTCGTGTAATGGAAATTTTTAGTTGTAGTTGCACATGTAGTTGTAGCTGAAGTGTAGTTGAAGTTGTAGTCGTAGTTGTAGTGGTAATTGTTGTAGCTCAAGTGTAGTGGAAGTTGTAGCTGTAGCTGTAGTTGCAGTTGTAGTTGTAGTGTAGTTGCAGCTGTCTGTCTATCTATCTATCTATCTATCTATCTGTCTATCTATCTATCCATCTATCTGTCTATCTATCTGTCTATCTATCTGCAAGCTTGGATACGAAGCTATTCTGCGAGACTTCCTCAATTTTTGAACTTGACAACATCAAAATAAATGCAGCAGTTTTGCGAGACTCCCTCAATTTTTGAATTTCAACATCAAAAACGAAGCAGTTCTGCAAGACTTCCTCAATTTTGGAAGTTGACAGCATCAAAAACGAAGCAATTCTGCGAGACTTCCTTCAAAAACGGAAAGTTGAGTGCAGAGCTGACGGCCTCGTACCAATGCGTTTTGCGTTTTTTCCATTCCATCTATCTAAAGTACTGCGCCTGCCACGAAAAAGTGAAGCCAGGTCATACGAAGTGCTGCACCTGTCACGCAAAATCATCGTCGCAAACCTGAAGATCTGACGCTCCAAAATGCAACCCCTGTGAGGAAATCTCCGCCCTGACCTCCTAACATCTCTGATGGATATGTCTCTTGTACTGCCTCTGCCAAGCGAAATGCATATTTGCAGATCCTCTTCAAATGTCTGCCATCTTTTTTGGAAATGCTACAAAACCCTCACGTTTTGCTCGATTTTGGCAAGGTGCCGAATCCCTTGCACCTGCCACGCGAAACGACATCTGAACGTCCAAAAGCGGTCCCAACAGGTGGTGTTTTTTTTACATTTTGACGACATGTGCTTCGCGCACTTTTTCAACATCTCAACTTCCAAAAGTGGTCTGAGACCATCAGTTTTTAACACTTTTGACTTCGAAATGTGCTTCGCGTTTCGACATCTCAACTTCCAAGAGTGGTCCGAACATGAGGTGCTTATGCGTTTTGACGTCGAAATGTGCTTTGCGCCACAACGGCGTGCACTTTTTGAACATCTGAACTCCCAAAAGTGCTCCGAGCATGGGGCGTTTCTAGCATTTTGACTTGGAAATGTGCTTCGCACCACAATGGCGTGCAATTTTTTATCTCCCATCTGCCCAGATGGCTCCGCACCTGCCGCTTTAGCGAGCCTACTTTTCGACCCTCTGGCGCAACAAATCATTAGAGAAACGCAGTGATTCGCGACTTTCTACCTTTTCGCGCACCCGCATCTTCTTTCTTCTGACTCTTTCTCTTCTCTGATATTCTTTCTTCTTTTCTCTTCTCCGATTTTTCCCACTCTGCTTTTCCATTTGTCCATATTGTCGGAAGTTTGACTTGTAAACTTCCTTCGATAATTATATGGCATATGTATCTGGGCTTTGGAATGCAAATAAGCTATGTCAACCATATCAGGGATACAATAAGGATGTAATCAGAATACAACTACCAATATCATGTGGGTCTACGTGTTTCAGAAAACCAAGGTTTTTACCATGAAACCCTTTCCCTTTAACCATCGCCACTTGGGAATAGCTTACATCTGTTTTCCCACAGCCAGGGTGTGACATTTTCACCGCTTCTTGCTGGCTGATTGAAAACGGTAAAGCACCAGTTTTTGGTTCATTGGGCCAAATCTTTGTTGGTAAAAGTCCCATCGCCTCACCCATTTTGGTTGCCTCAAATTCCAACTTTTAATCGAGGATAGCAAAAGTCAGAAGGTCGTGGGTAAGGGTCAAAATGCCTCGTGTAAACCCATGAAGCCCTCCATTTTAGAGTCACCTTGCCGCTGTTTTTTTTGCTCAGGGCAAGGAGAGAAGTGCCGGAGTGCGACGCGGTGAGACCGGGGTAGCAACATCAATGCTGCAACTTGGATGTGCCAGGAATGATACGTGGCTCAGAATTCATCAATTGAGACATATTGGAAATGTACACATGTACATATATACGTATATATACGTATACATATATATATATAGCCCCTGGGGTTCGCCATCGGTAAACAGCGTACTTGTGTAGTCGCATTCTGATGTGCAGCAAGGTCGAGATGTTCATCTTACCTCTGTTTTGTGGGGCGAAATAGACGTGTGCGCGTTGGTCTTGCATCGCCAGGTGTGTTTTTATGCCTTTTTGTCCCGAATTCGGTGGGTTTCGTTTTTTTCTCTTTTTCGGTCTGTGATGACTCTGCGTGAGTGATTGATGCTACGCGGTCACCTTTCATGGCCCCTCGCGACCGTTTCAAACCTGACATGCAATATTGCGTGCACAACCCTTGTGCGAAAAAAGATGTGAGATGATTTGGAAGAGATTCTGGAATGATTCGGTCACTTCATTTACAGTCGCTTTTCGCCCAGTATTTTCAAGTTGGATTTGGGTTTGAAGATGTTTGAAGATGGTTCGTGATTCATGATGGATTTGACAGGGCATACGTGCGACTGGTCTCACGACGTGCAATTCGAAGATGATTTGAAGACATTTTCAAGGCTCTATGCACTTCATTTCACCTGTCCAGCATCGGCGAACGTCAGGTCCTGTGCGTGTATATCTAAATATCTAAATATCTATATCTATATATATAAATATGGTCACCTGGCCACCTCCCCGAGAACCTATATATATATATATGTAAAAGTATATATGCGTAAATAAATAAATACATATATATATATATATATGATATTATATATGTACATATGTATACATGTATATAGAGGTATATACCTGGGGCTTGTCTTGTCGAGTGGCTCAGAGCTACTTGGTATGCACATCCCAGTGTGCAAATCGTTTATCGTTTGTAAACACACGCACACACACACATATATATATATACACAACTGGTTAAGAAACCGCATAAAACCGGCCTTGCTGGTAGTGTGGGAAACCAAATTCGATCAACCCATATAGCTACGGGCCGGGCCAATGCCCCGATGGTGATGTCTCTACCCCGGAGATTTTTTTTGAGCAGAATCATCCTTTTGGTTCCTGAGGATCTGAAGCCAAATTCTGAACACAAAAGTCACCTTGTTTGGAAGTGGTTTGCCATAAAACAACATGGATTTCTCCGCTTGAAGCCGATTTCTCC